TTGCATCTAGTTTACAAAACTTTAACATATATGCTGTTGTTCTTGCAGTTGATTTTGATCAAGGAATTCATAGCGAAATTATGTTTCAATTATAAACATTGGTTTAAGTTTGACAAATCACTCGAACCAGCAGATTCCGGAAGCAGAATCATGAGATGCATACCTGTGTAATGGTCCTATATTTATATTATTTGACTTGCAGTGAGTACCCAAAAGTCACACTGGCCAGATGGTGATACGGCCTAATCCTATAATCTCTTGTTACTATATCATAAATCAAACAGGGTACAGTGGGGGTAGACCATGATCAGACCATCTGGCAGTCCCAGTTGGACAGACCCGTGAAGATCTGGGGTAGAATAGGTCTTCAGCAACCTATGCTTGCCATAGAAGGCGACTGTGCTTGTCATAAGAGGCGACTAATGGGATCCGGTGGTCAGGCTCGCTGACTTGGTTGATGCATGTCATCGATCCCAATTGTGCTCATGATATTAATCACTGGATTGTCCGTTCCAGACTCGATTATTTACAGACTGCCGTCATATAGCTGGAATATTGCTGAGCGCGGCGTTAAGCAACAAACCAACCAACCAACCAACCAACCAACCCAGTTGGACAAGGTACGAAAAGAGACTTTTTGACCCACAGGATCTACATAATTTAAGAAATCTGCAAACATGTTAGAAACATCTTCCCGAGTCATTGTCTGAGGGAGTTAACTGACTACAAAAGTCCAGTTTCCACCATTGCGGAACTAGGCTGTAACTATGGTTATATTTTGGCTGGACTAACGAGTCCATGCATAGTCCAATCAAAATCGCGTAACAAATTCGTCATCTGGTTCATTATTTAATCAGTCATGCAGATTTAGGTAGATTTCAGGATTTGCAAAGCATTTGTACCGTCAACTGGGTATCGACAGATATTCTTTTCATGTTTTAACTCAAGGTGGTCAAGTAATTTGATGCACTTCGTGAGGTGAGACCCATTTGATAATATGAGAGGTGGAATCTGACTCAGGTCAATGGGAAGGTCATAAAAGGGACATAACTCAAAATAACCACTGGTGGCGCAAGGATCAAGCCACAAAATTCTGGGCTAGTTTGCAAAGGTGGACTTTTAAGTCAGTTAACTCCCTTGCCTCGGTAAGATGTTTAGAAATTGTTAAGGAAGTTATCAGAAAGACAGCTAGACTTTGTCCATTTCAGCACATTCATGTCTTGGACTCTTATTAACATTAAATGTGTACATTAAAGTCTACAGTGTGTCAAAAAGGCTGTTTATGGGGTTTCCAGAAGTGTTTTTTCTGATATTTGACCCCAGCTGATTCTTACTGATGTAGAATAAAGACAGTAGAAACATAAAGCAACTACCGTATACCACATAATAAGCGCCCAGGATGCTCTCAAAATTAGAAATAGGGGGCTCTTATTAGAATATATTTTGGTGAAAAAAAAACAGTTGAAAGATCGTTAATTTCGTGGTTTATGCTGACAGCCTGAAATGTTTATATACGACAGATATATTGTTCCAGAATTTAATAATTAAGGGTGCATATAACACTCGAGTGCCTATTATACACGAATACATTTAAGTCTTGTGTACAATGATCAATCGGGAGGGGTGCTAATTCACTTGCCAATATATTAGCAAATATCGCCGTGGGCGCTTATTAGAGCGGGGCGCTTATTACGTCGAATATGGTATTCATTTTGGGGTTGGGACCTGCTTACCTATCTCTGCCATACATGAATTTCATCATGTCAGAAGTTCCGTAAGTTCAAATTAGACATTTCCAGTGGCCTTATCCTACCTCGTCAAGTCATTCATCATTCATGTTTATGTGCTTTTAACTCAATTGTGTTTTGTAGATCAATTTAGCAGTTACTGATAATGCTCATTATACAGAGACAATGTCTAATTATGCCCAAATCTAACGCCCATTTCCAGAGACAGTGTCTCTAATTACTCCCAAATCTGGACTAAAAATAGACTCCAGATAATGGAGTAAGGTGAGGCGAAATGGCGAATTGTGTGCGTGCGTGCAATGCATGCGAGCTTATCATAAGTCCAGACTAATGCCAGTTTATAGTGCCAGCCGTCTGAGATACTATGCCGCATTATAACACGGACACTATATGATACTCCCTTCCCTACAGCCTCAAAAGTGCACCTAGCATCACTGTGCTTAAGTCTGGACTCAAAACATACCTTTATAAACGCTACAAGTGAATGTGTATATTTTTACTATCTAACTGTCCCCTCTCTGTCATATATATAATTATGTACATAGGCTGAATTTGTGCATTGAGCATGTTCTTCAGTGATGTGGATTTTGCGCTACACAAATAGCCTTCTTCTTCATCTTCTTCGTCTTCTTCTTATCACTCAGACACACTATACTGACTCAGATTTCAGATTACGAGAACAGTCCGCAACAAGAAACACATTACAAACTTCCATTGTGGTTTCTGTTCCTACAGTCAGATCTGCCATGCTGACCTACTCCAGGTCAAGCCAGGTCACTTCCTGGTCAATGCTGACCCCTGGGCAGGCCACCAGGTGTATATACTGACGGACACCTGATAACCAGTGGGCAGGTGAGACAGGTCACTCAGTGGTCGGCACTGTCCTTCACAACAAACACCGCCTGATACCAATCAATGCTTGCCTTCGATATCAACCTCCCTGATGACCAAGGTGAACAAAGGCTGACTATATCTACTGAATCTCTCGATTGTTAATAGAAATACAAACTAGAATCAATAATACAACCTTGATGATGAATTGTTTAATAGACATTACTTACAGTGTTAGAAATTGGCACTTGACCTATAGTCCTTGCCAAATTGCCCAATAGTTAAGGTATCATAAGGACAAGTAGAAATTTGCCATTTTTAAGGGTTTTGCTGTATTATATAATTGTTATCATTATTAGGACTAGTGAACTGAAACTGTAAGATTCTACTGCTGACTTAGAAGTTGACGGACGACAATTCATTAAAGTAGACACAATTTAGACACAACTTCTAGATTTACTGTAAAAAACGACATTTCGGTACATATCCTTAAACCAATGTTCAGCCTTGAGTGAGTGAGTATGGTTTTACGCCGCTTTTAGCAATATTCCAGCAATATCACGGCGGGGGACACCAGAAATGGGCTTCACACAATGTACCCATGTCGGGAATCGAACCCGGGTCTTCGGCGTGACGAGCGAACGCTTTAACCACTAGGCTAACCCACAGGCCCCAGTGTTAATTTATTACCACACTAAGCCTATGATATTATGATGGATGTTCAGCCTTGCTTGACAACAGTATAAGGATTTACACCGAAACGTCAGTTAATAACTTAAATGGGGTGACTTTGATGGCATCTTCATAATATCTACATCTAAACGTCGCTAAATGCAATAAACCAGAAGTTGGAATCCACAAACTTGTATGTTTTCTAATATCAGTGATTATCTTTGTTTATAAAAAAAAACATTACAAGGGAAAATGTTTTTCCATTTTTTACTTGTTCCATATTTAAAATGACTGGTCTGGATGTTGTGATTGTAATTTTTATCTTTCATGATTATTACCTCACAGGAAACTGTTGGCACAGATTGTTTTTGTCATTGAGCGTCAACTCTTATGAACAGCCAATCTCAATGATCATGAAGACATTATTCCTGTCTGTTCGCTGCATTATTTCTCAGGTTATTTAAGTACTATATAATTTGAATCTGGTTAATTTGAAATATGTCACAATACCCACTTTATTTGTTTTTTTACACTGATCAGAACAGGGAGTGGACACGGTACAGCTTTAGGGTGCATGTTATATTCCAGGTATCATCTTCCTGAGGCAGGGGAGTTAACTGACTATAAAAGTTCAGTTTCCACCCTTGCCGAACTTGGCTTGAATATCTGGGCTCGATCGTAGCGCCACCAGTGGTTATCATGTTATTACAAGTTATGTCCTTTCTGTGTCCCTCCTATTGACCAATCAGATTCCACCCAGCATATCACATGCATTTGCTTTAAACAAAATTGCGGGGCCCAGTCAAGACAATCTAATCGATAATCAAAATCGTTTTTTTGTAATATATAGGGTCTTATTTCACAAAGTGCGTCCAATCACGTGAGCACCTTGATTAAAAACATGAAAACATTTGGAAAATATCTGTTGATGCTGAGTTGGAGGTATAAAGGCTTTGCAAATCCTACAATCGACCGAAATCTGCACGGCAGTTTACAAACTGGATGTTGATTTCATTACGAGATTTTAATTTGACTATGCATAGACTTGTTAGTCCAGCCAAAATATAACTCCATAATTGCAGCCTAGTTCGGCAAAGGTGGACACTGGGCTTTAACAGTCAGTTAACTCCCTTGCCTGGGGAAGATGTCCAGGTATATGATGGTAGCCTGTAAATAATCCATCTGACAAACCTAGAAACATAATCGGGGCGAACTGGGATTCAAACCCACAATCATAGGTTTCTGGCGTGCCCAAGGTATGCAACTCTGCGCAGCGAATTGCGGCGCCTTAGACGAGTGGGCCATCCGTGCCCCCTGGGACCTATTCTAACCCAGACTCCCCAGGGCAGCTCTGGACATTGTACAATGGTAATTTTCAACAACAAATTGAGACTACATGTGTCACTGGTGGGATGGACATGATTGTACAAGCTGAATGGGTTGGCACACCATGAAACTGAAGGTCAAAGGGGGTACACAAATGTTCAGCTCATAAAATCCTGTACACCCTGCTTGTGAAACATGCATCAAACTCATCATTGTGTGTTCACAGGCGTGACAATGGATCTATCTTGTGACTACCATCAAAACTTTCAGCATGGAAACACGATTGATTGTGACATAAGCAAGTCGATGTCAAATCAAACATGATGACATCATGATATCCAAACAGTTCTGCCAACTGACTTTTTACAAGACAGCGACTGGACAGCTAGATTCTGGATCGAAGACTGGTAACTTGTCACTGACCTGGTGACCTGGAGGTCATCGCGGAGTTTTGTGTAGAACTGCTCCAGCTGGACTTCCTGTAGCAGCTCGTACAGCCACTCCTGGCCATCCTCCTCCCCCGACACGTCACTCATCCTGCAACACAAAATGTTTTTTGAAATTGTACTTCAGAGTATGAAAAATTATAACTATTAGCATGCGATAAATCATGCTGTACTTCTTACGATAACCATAGTCGCCTTTTACGGCAAGCATAGGTCTTCAGCTACCCACGCTTGCTGAAAAAGGCGACTATGCTTGTCATAAGCGGCGACAAACGGGATCGGGTGATCAGGCTCGCTGACTTGGTTGATGCATGTCATTGTATCCCATTTGCATGGATCGATCCCAATGGTGTCAATCACTGACTCGATTATTTACAGACCACTGACATACAGCTGGTATATTGCTGATTTTGGCGTTAAACTTATCATAAGTTGACATGTGAATCTGAACGATTCAAACAGATGCACAATGGCAAGACTGAGTGTCATCGGTGAGGCATAGCAGCCTCATGGTAGCAAAAGCACATGATGACCTGAGCAGCGGATCGGCTGTGTTGTAGAGCTTGCCAAGTCAAACCTAACAAAATCTACTCCTTATTTATCATGCAACTGCGTAAGGAGTACTGATTATGGTGGTGTTAAACAACAAACAAGCAATTGCAATGCATTTCAAAATGTAATTGTCTTTGACAGGAGTGCTTGAAATTAAGCATGGAAGACTAGAGGTGCTTGCCACAAGACTAATGTTAACAACTGGATGCAAGAAATATATTCACTCGAGAAATAGTTTGTTTTTTTAACAATATTTATTTCCACTTGGTACAGTTTGTTTATTGTTTAACGCCACACTCAGCAATATTCCAGCTATATGACGGCGGTCTGTAAAATAATCGAGTCTAGACCAGACAATCCAGTGATTGACATCATGAGCATCGATCCACGCAATTGGGATCGATGACATGCATCAACCAAGTCAGCGAGCCTGACCACCCGATCCAGTTAGTCGCCTTTTACGACAAGCATAGTCGCCTTTTACGGCAAGTATGGGTTGCTGACGACCAATTCTACCCCGGAATCTTCACGGGTCACTTGGTACATTGAAAGGGGATCGATAAACAGGCAGAGCCTATATAAACATCTCTAGTTGTCTCACCTCATTAGAGAGATATAATAAAAGTAGAATCATGTTTGACAAATATATTAAACTCCTGTGATATTAATGTACTGTACTTGATAGCTTGATATTAATGTAAATTATTTAAAACAAGTATTTGTCACAGAGTGACGAAATATCCCCCCCCTGTACACCATAGTACCAAATATGAAGACAATCCAGCGATTAGTTCTTGAGATATTGTGGCAACACCGTTTTCCAACTCCAAAAACAGATTTGCCTGCTGTGACCTTGAAAATGGGGTCAAGGTCACCAAATCTGACAGGTGTATGCGGTGTCTGTATATACACCATAGTACCAAATATGAAGACAATCCAGCGATTAGTTCTTGAGATATTGTGGCAACACCGTTTTCCAACTCCAAAAACAGATTTGCCTGCTGTGACCTTGAAAATGGGGTCAAGGTCACCAAATCTGACAGGTGTATGCGGTGTCTGTATATACACTATAGTTCCAAATATGAAGACAATCCAGCGATTAGTTCTTGAGATATTGTGGCAACACCGTTTTCTAACTCCAAAAGCAGATTTGCCTGCTGTGACCTTGACAATGGGGTCAAGGTCACCAAAACCGACTGGTGTCTGCGGTGTCTGTATATACACCATAGTTCCAAATATGAAGACAATCCAGTGTTTAGTTCTTGAGATATCGCGGCAACACCGTTTTCCAACTCCAAAAGCAGATTTGCCTGCTGTGACCTTTAAAATGGGATCAAGGTCACCAAAACCGACTGGTGTCTGCGGAGTCTGTATATACACCATAGTTCCAAATATGAAGACAATCCAGTGTTTAGTTCTTGAGATATCGCGGCAACACCGTTTTCCAACTCTAAAAGCAGATTTGTCTGCTGTGACCTTGAAAATGGGACCAAGGTCACCAAAACCGACTGGTGTCTGCGGAGTCTGTATATACACCATAGTTCCAAATATGAAGACAATCCAGTGTTTAGTTCTTGAGATATCGCGGCAACAAACAGGTGGGACGGACGTACGGACGTACAGACGTACAGACGTACGGACGGTCGTGAATACTATATCCCCCGCTTCGCGCTTTCGCGCGGCGGGGGATAATGAGGTCGATAAAGATGTAACACTCTGGACATGTGAGCTAAATATGACTTATCTTACAACTGAGATATAGGCCATGTGGCCTGAATTATAAAATAAACTTGACTGATTGACATTTACAATTTTACAGGGCGACCCGATTCAAATACCATAGAAGACATGGACCGCTTAATTTCCAACACTATCCCAGAATAATATGCAATTTTCCAGGATTGTTTTGCATATCAATAAATTCTTCCCTGTATAGTCAACATTTTAGACTCAACAAGCATAACCATGGTAACATAAGCACAAAAACAAAGTCCTTCTTAAAATACCTGTCATACTCCTCAACATCCCCCGAAACACAGCTGTTCATTCTGCAAATTTGGGAGACAAACAAATATTTCCCCATGTACCCATAACCATCAACTACCAATATCAACATACGACCTCCAAGACATTCACCTCATGAGGGAGCATATCAAAAGTCTTGAAATAAACTTAACCCAATGAGTAGTTAACCAAATGACTGACTACTATCTTTCATTGGTTTGACTGATAAATGAACAAAGTAGTGAAATTAACCATTTCCTTGATCATGAAAGATCATGAACTGCCAAACTAAATAAATTCACTTTAATACTTTGACACAGCCCCTTTCATGAGCGATGCCTGACCTGTGAACCATGTGTCAATATCTACCTCGTTGAGTCTGTCTATCGCATGTGTAACCATCTGTCGCCAGAGAACAAACAAAGCCTGGTGTATATATGTATATGTAGTTAATTCTAAATGACATACACATGCTGCACACATAACCCTTAGAACTTACAAACAGAATCCATAAGAATTGGTCATAAACAAGGGAGATCACTCTTGTTTGATGGGAAAAGGATTTTAAACTGTTCATGTTTGCTGAAGCAGTTCATAATCTTTTTCATTAAATGAATTATTTTTTTAATGAAATCACTTTTTTTAGTAATGAATTAGTTATTTTTATAAATTTGTCATGACACAAAAAATTTATTGGATTACAAAATAAACTTGAAATGTAATTTAGATTTTACAGTGAAAGTTTTTCTCTGACGGATCCATAATGCTGAGAATTAAAAATTACTGCCTAACCAATTCATGACAACGATCAACCATTGTGACACTTGCACCAAAAGGTTACATCAGGCCAAGTTTGCTTCTACAACATCATCAACATCAGATACATTGAATAAATTTCCATTGATTACCGACAGCCTACTGGCCATTTATGATCTGTTACTTTGTAATGTGACATTTTGACACCATGACCTTTTTCTGCTGTGGTCGGCGCGACCTGGTGTATTGGTAGGGTTATGCAGTGATACTGAATGTAAGAGGTCACTGTAAGAGGTCACTGTAAGAGGTCACTGTTAGAGGTCACTGTAAGAGGTCACTGTAAGAGGTCACTTTAAGAGGTCACTGTAACAGCCAGGGGTTGTGTGCCCACTGTCAGTGTGTCTGGAGTTTTATATGGATCAGCAGCGTGGATAAGGTGGAATGAGTGAGTGACTGTATGACATTAGTGGACTGTTTGTGGAGTGAGTGAGTGGACTGTTAGTGGAGTGAGTGAGTGAGTGAGTGAGTGGACTGTGAGCGGATGAGTGGAGTTGATGTGGAGTGGATGTGTCTGTGAGTGGGTGAGTGGACTGTGAGTGAGTGAGTGTGTGTGAGTGGACTGTGAGTGAGTGAGTGAGTGGACTGTGAGTGAGTGATTGTGTGGACTGTGAGTGAGTGAGTGAGTGAGTGGACTGTGAGTGAGTGAGTGGACTGTGAGTGAGTGAGTGGACTGTTAGTGAGTGAGTGGAGTGAGTGAGTGGAGTGAGTGAGTGGAGTGAGTGAGTGGACTGTGAGTGAGTGAGTGGACTGTGAGTGGTTGGTTGGTTTGTTGTTTAACACCGCACTCAGCAATATTCCAGCTGTAAGACGGGAGTCTGTAAATAATCGAGTCTGGACCAGACAATCCAGTGATTATTATCATGAGCATCGATCCACGGAATTGGGATCCATGACATACATCAACCAAGTCAGCGAGCCTGACCACCCGATCCAGTTAGTCGCCTTTTACGACAAGCATAGTCGCCTTTTACGGCAAGTATGGGTTGCTGAAGACCAATTCTACCCCGGAATCTTCCCGGGTCACTTGGTACATTGAAAGGGGATCGATAAACAGGCAGAGCCTATGTAAATATCTCTAGTTGTCTCAACTCATTAGAGAGATATAATAAAAGTAGAATCATGTTTGCAAATATATTAAACTCCTTTGATATCTGGACCAGACAATCCAGTGATTAATATCATGAGCATCGATCCACGGAATTGGGATCCATGACATACATCAACCAAGTCAGCGAGTCTGACCACCCGATCCGGTTAGTCGCCTCTAACGACAAGCATAGTCGCCTTATACGGCAAGCATGGGTTGCTGAAGACCTATTCTACCCCGGATCCACGGGTCGAACTGTGAGTGGAGTGAGTGAACATTGCACAGCTTCATGTCTACCAAGAGGTCAGCCTTAGGCAAATCATGCATCATATTTCCATTTAGACGTGAGTGCCAATTGCTTCTCCCACAATTCAGTATCTCATGGTCCAGACATGATTATTTCCAGGCCGCCGTCATATTACTGGAATATTCCTGAGTGCAGAAGCGTTAACCAACAATTCAGACCACAACCCACACGGGAACATAGAACAGATAAATAAGAATGAATAACCAAACATGTCCAGAAACCCAGAAGCTGTATGTAAAGTACTTAAGCCACCTGATAGCGGTTTCCATCACACAAAACACCCCGCAGGGTTCAGTGAGGTAGAATCCCTAAGGATTAATTCGTT